TAAGCACAAAGCTACACAATGGGCTATCTGTGCTCTGCCCACCACAGGTATCGAAACCCGGATTCTAGCGTTGTAAGTCCGCAAGACATTACCGCTGTGCCACTGGGGGCCCCTATTAGTCACATATTAAAAAGGCTTTTAACACGACAAGCCATAACATTATTATTTTTAAAAAATCTAAATGTTTGATGCTGTGCTACATTGTGTAGTAAACTACTAGTAGAAAAAGATTGTTAAATACAAAACCAGGAATTCAAACAATGTAGATGGTACGTACCTATGGTGTCACCACGGCTTGGTCGTAGATCCCATAATGTTTAGCTTGCACATTAATGAGACTTTTAATGTGCTTTTCTTTGGCATCCATATCGTCTACAGATGACATTAATATATTTAATTCACACAACAACTTGTTTTATTTTATTTTACTTAAAATAAGGTCAGTGTTCTACTACTTTACTTTGTTTAGTCTTCAAAAGAAGTCTGCTTTATTATTATGAAGTTAAACAAAGTCATCTATTGTATGATAGACGACATACTACCAATTAATGTAGGGCATTGAATACGACAAGCGTATTAAAGTTCAGGTGTGTCTCTTCAGTATATGTATGTGTGAAATTTTCTCAGCTCTTTGTTTGTTGTTGTTGGATTTTCAGAGAAAAGCTACACAACTACTACTATCAACCGCGGGTAATAGAACTCCGGGTTTTAGCGTTGTAATTCCGGATACTTATCGCTGTCCCACCGAGCAACATATCAACTCTTAGTTTAGTTTCATGCATAGCAAAATTTTTAAAAATAGCATATTAATTGTCGCTTTAATTTCAGATAATGGTCTCAAATTGAACTGTTTCTTGGATAATAAGCCAAACATCCATTTTATTTCCGAATATCTTATTTTCTTTGATCTCTGAATCAATTTATTTTTACTTAACTAGGGCTTTCCTAACAAAAGCCTCTCAATGAATTTCCTACATAGTGTTTTTCTCATAATTAAACATATTGTATAGTTTTGTTCGCTTGACGTTAAGTACATAGCTATACATTGGGCTGTCTATGCTCTGCCCACCGTAAGCATCGATCCCAGACGTTTAGCATTATAAGATCTCAGACCTACTTACTCAGCCGGTAGGGTGCTTTTAGTGACATAAGTTCTAAGCGTGCACACAATGCATTAATGAGTAAATGTATAAATCACTAAAAAAAATTAGAAAAATGTCATCCAAGGAACTACGCTGTGTGTGTGTTTGTGTGAAACTTTTGTTACGTGCTTTTGTATATGTGCAGAAGTTTAACTGACTGCCACATGGTATCTTGCAATAATTTCAAAAAAGAATAAAAAATATTGTCTCATTTATTTTCTTTGTAGATAATTCAGGGTCTCAGTTTTACTTCAAGTGTGTGCTTTTTTTAAATACTCACAGTAAAAACATTCTATACAATGATTTACAAAGTATCACACAAATTTATTATTTTGTAAGCATTTAATGAAAATATTGTTACAGTCTGGATGGGTATTATTTAATAGTGACTTCAGTCCTAGTATCTCAGCTAGTAAGAGCTTCGGCTTCAAAGCAGTAACAGAAATCGTAATTTTAAGCCTCGTTCAGGACAATTTCATAACATCTTCATTCGTTATAATAGACGAACTAATTATATTGCCAAACAATAAAGTATTCACAAGTGTTACACTTGGCTTTCCATTTATAAAACTTAAGTTTATTTACGTTTTATAAAAACGATTGACAGCATATTACTTTTTTCCCCCCAATCCTCTTAAGTACATTAAGAATTTCGAATCAGATGTATTTCTTTATCTTCTAGAAATCATTTACCAGGAAGATTTTCGTTCAATATGAGAACTCATCACAGCTAGACTGGACCATAGTAGCAAAAACATATCCGAAACGCTGTTTATATGAAGTACAACAAATACATTACTGGTGTTAAAAAACTCAACTTTTTTGCTTTGAAGTCACGTTTAAAACCACTGCAAAATATATTTTACCTTTGTTTCCTGAACATTTATTACCACGTTTAAACAAACAGTCCACTTGGCTCAAATCAACTTCAAAAACCTGTTTCAGTAGAATATACTTATGACCAGCTATATGAACAAAATATGATATGTGAAGTATCGTACATTCAAGACAAAATAATTTGTAGTTTTAAGATGCAGATTTCACCTTAGAATAAAAGTTGCCTACATAAACTGCCTTTACCAATAAGATGAAGATGTTTTCACACTTTTTTTTTCGTAAGATGAGTGATTTTAAGATGTATCTTCCATTAAGGCCAGCTGCGTAACATACTTGTTGCACATATCACCCAATTTCAGTTAGTTTACACACTACGAAATAGCTTAGAGAAATAATAAGCGCTAAACACGCGAGACCGATCGATCGCTAGTGCGCAACGCGAGTTTCTTTCAGTGGTATAAAGCTAAATACAATCTTTCATTCTTTTTGTAACAGTTTTGATATGGACGTTTCTCATTTTGATTTGCATTATAAACGCTAAAATTTAAGATCTGTATAAAATTAGCTGACACTACTTAAAATTGGCCGTGATTATATTCATATCATCGATATTCATGAATGTATTTAAATGAAACAGTCTAAAAAAAAATCCAAAATACCGAAACAATTTAGAATAACCAAAGAAATGCAAACTACCTACGAACAAGTGTGTAACTGAAAAGGTTTCAAGTTTAAGTAATGGCCAAAGATGTAATATCTGCCATCTCTCTAATTAGGTTAAACTCTCCAACAGCTATATATTATAATAACAATACTCGAAATATAGCGCTGACTGCATTAGGAATGAAAGAAACGAACATTAATTAACAAAAATAACTTTAATAGACGACAATTTCAAAGAAACCCTTCTTTAAATACATTTGAAGAAGAGTGAGTGTTTATCCGAAGTGTTATATTTTTCTTTGGTGTTTTTAATTGACTTTCATTTCATTTATTCTCATACTAATTTTAGGAACGAGATTATTTGGTTCATCGTTGATCCAAATAGAGTAAATTAGAGGGCTTACTTTGTTTTCTTGCATAAACTAGGTTCTTAGATGTCGAGTCAAAGTAGCAATTCTTCTCTGGTTTCTCTTTTACATATCAACAGTCTGTGAATAACACAGTGAAATGTGAGTCGGAAATATGTCTGCATATGTATAACTTACTCAAAAAGATTAGAAGAGCATGGCGTAAGATAATATATCACGAGCTTATAATCTGAATGATAATGTACTTACTCCTTGAAACATTTTTTAAGCAAGCATACTGAAGAATTTAGTACGTGGGAAACAAAAACAATTTCTCACCTGCTTTTACGGAATAAAAGAGGGTGAATCCTTTCCTTCGAGACACGAGTACGAAAACTTTGTCAGCTGAAGGTAAGGTACTAGAGTTAATTATTATTTTTATTTTGAAATTACATCTTTGGTTTCTTATATTAAACTTATTTTAAGTTCATGTAAATAGATATAATTGGTTGGCCATCATAATTTATTCGCATAAATGAGCTTTGAAATTCAGTAATCATAGAAGAGAAGTCATTTCATTGTTAATAGTAATTTTATTTAAGGGTTAGTGACTTAATGTTTTCATATAAGAAAGGCTTATTTGCTTCATATTAAACTCAATAGGTTTATAAAACGTAATAATTTCAATTCCTGTCACTAGATGGATTTTCACATAATATTTCTCAACTAATGAGATACACCGGTAACTAGCGCAAAGTTGATTTACGTTACTACATTCCATATAAAATACCACATAATTTTCGTTCGTTTTACATCACAAATGTTTCATTAATTCAACCACTTGGTCATTCTAGCCGTACCAACAAATTAAAATAAAACCTTAAAGATGCGTTGGATTTTAGTGGATCCTGCATTCTAGCCGAACTAACAAATTAAGCAAATAAAAATAAATCCTGAATATCCATTTAGGATCTAAGGGAACTTTACAGAATAGCCTCTCCTTACCTCTTTAGATCGTGCAAAGAAACCACTATGTGAGTTTATTATTCATCTTAGTTAAACCTGACTCTTCACTGGATGTTGAGTTTAAACAAATTCTACTAGATAATACCATAACAAATTAAGCAAATTAAAATAAACCTTAAGAGACGCGTTGGCTTTAGTAGATCCTACACTCAAATAAAGACTTCCGTTCGAGTAGTGATTAAAACTCAACTTTACATGACTTAAATAATACTTTTTAGTGCTAGTACACCCAAGAAAACTGTTGCTGCTGTTTTATAAATATGCCGACATTACAATTTATTTATTTAAATATAATTCATTTTGTTTTTTCTTCTCATTTTTAAACCATAAAGCAATATAAAAAGCCACTGATATTGATTCATCAATATCCAAGTTACGTCTAAGAGACGTTATATTAAAAACTCAAAAGAATGGAATCAAGGATATTTCCTTCAACAATCGTGTTTAAATATCATATATCTTTCAACTGCCTAGTTACTACACAATTGAATTTTATATTTCAGAATAAATCGTTATGTACTACAAAATGTCCACAAGTGACACCTCATAATGTACTCTCATTTTTTTATTATTTTTTTTTCGTTTTCCAACAGATGAAGATAACTATTACTGCCCTGTGCCTTCTTTTTCTGGCAACTGTTGCCTACGGTAAGCATTACCAGTTGCTCAGTTGTTTCAATATTAAGTTGTCGCACTTTTCTGGAGAAACTACGTAAATAATAAGCTTTTCGTATGTTACAATTAAAATCTATTTTCTGAACAATAGTTCTATTCTTGATTATTGTAGGCATAAATAACAGCTCCATGAACTTAAATAATCTAATGGTTGAATTAAATTCTTAAAACCATGTATCAATAGAGCCTATGAACAAATCGGACAGTTTGTCGCTTGCAAGGCTTCACCCAAGTCATGTAGAAAGATATTATTGTTTATTAAAATCAAAAGAAAATGTTATAGCAACAGTAAATGACGACTTTTTTCTTTTCTTTTAAAGCTCTATGATTATTTGATAATAATTACCAAAATTTAAAGTTTGTGCTTAATTTATTTATATGTATGTTTGTATATATCCCTACAATCTTCTGTAACTTCTGTTTAACTTCCTATATCCGCTAACTGGCGAAAAAATTATCAACATTTTGTCAAACATTTGCTCCTCAATTTTTAACTTCACTTTACTCAATTCTCCCTTTGAGGTTGATAATTTAAATCCATTTAGACTACCATGGAATATCCATTCCCACTTAACTCGGAATCCTACTTAATGAATGAAAGTTCATCTTAATATCATTAGGTTTTATAACCAATCTTTCAAAGTATCTCGTTAAGTAGAACGAGTTTCATATAAATAGTAATATTAGTATATCACAAATAAAGAGGTGTTTCCAATGCAAAATATCTTCACAAACACAAAATCCATGTTTTAAATGTCACATTGATTTAGCAATGTTGTATTTGACCACGTGCATATCGAAAGTCAGGCTTTATTGCCATATTGCCAACTTCAACCTATTGAACTATAGACTTAGTCCTCTTGCAAACGATAGCTGTTTTAATATGTTGGTTCATACTTTAATTGTACATAGGTATACAGATAGATACAAACATATGAATAAATAAAATATTTTTGTCCTTTAAATGAATATTCTATCTTACTATTTGATAGATCTCTTTTTAATTCTGTTTTTGTATTTGTTTTTGCTACGCTTGATTATTATTACTAACCATTTTCAGGGTTACATTTCAACTTCACGCGCAACCTACTGCAATATATATTTTTTTATTTATAGCTTTTGTCGATTAAAAAGCTCGTGTTTTCTCTTTGAAAAGTTACCCTTGTTTTTATTTTTGAACATTATTCAAATTTGTCAACTTCTTATTCAATAGGAGATGTATTTTGTGGTGCCGGATACTACTGTCCAGATAAGACTACGTGCTGCCCTCACACACAGTTTGCATTCACATGTTGTGAAGCAGAAAATGCTGTTTGCTGTGGTGACGAAGAATTCTGCTGTATGAGTGGCTTCGTGTGTGACTACGCAATAAAAAGTTGTAGACGATCTTACGAAGCCGTGTTTTCTCGTGTGAAGACTAGCCCTGCTATTCAATAAAAGAATTCCAAGCTAGTTGTTTGCGATGTTCGTTCACATCATTACGATAACAAACGATTTTGTTTTATTGTAATATTATGAATTAATAATTATAAACTTATTAAAAGCCTGTGTTGTACAATATCTTGTTTACATTCTTCCTCACTAATTATCTTCGAAAAATTGTCTTAAAAACTTTGGAAGTATATTTTAACTTAAAAATGCATGCTAGTAGTACAAAAAATGTGTAAATGAATTTAAGAACATTTTAAGAGTTTTGGGAACAAAGTCAGAAACTTAATTAGAGAACTACAAGTTTAATAAAAAAGTAAAGTAAATAAACAAAAAAATGACGTTTTACTTCATAGTTTAAACAAAAACAAATTCCCATTGCAATTTCTGTTTGATCAACAGAGCAATAGCCCTACGGCCCAATTCAGATTTTTGCACAATCTTTACACTTCTTTATACCAGTACGAAACTTAGAATATTTGAAGAGGTTCTTAAGACAGTCACTTTCTGATGTAATGCAAAGCTGTAAACAATATGTTACCATAGAAATCCACGTTTGATTTAAACCTTACATTATCTACAGTATCCTCTGCTGTTGTTCATACACTATGTCTAACAACTCTTTCTTTCTGGTTTAAGCCTGAAGAACTGCTCCTGTGTATAGTGATAACGGTGTTTTGGGGTTTATATTATTCTTGTGCATGGTGACAACGGTGTTTCTGGGTTTATGTTACTCCTGTGTATAGTGATAATGGTGTTTCTGGGTTTATGTTATGCTTTACAGAAGTCGTTTCTTGCCATTTATGCATTCCACTATTAAACTTCAGCAATTAAGCTACAAAAATGCTTCCTGATTTGTTGGTTTGACTGATTAATGTTTGGTGTTTATTTCTTCAGAAATCATATTAACTAGTTCCGTAATTAACCGGAGACATGCTACACCCATTGCACCATTATCACTATCCTTTTGAAAAGCACCCTAAAGTACTTGCCTTGTGTATTACCAAATGCGAGGAATACATCTCTTCCTTTAGTTTGAACTCTGAGATCTGAGGTATGGGCCAAAAGTTTGTTCTTCAGCATGATTGTGTGGAGTCTTTGTTATATCCAATTGTTCAAGCCTTATGCAATAGTCGTTTACTTAGTCTGTAAGTTTGAAGATAAATGTATTTGAATTTTGTAATTAAGTGTCTTTTATATAAGAAATCAGTTGCCCAAGAACAATACTGTGAGTAATCGTTTTATTAACTGGTTAAAACTACTCTTCCTTTAGCCTTATTCTTTGCACAGTTATAAAGTGCAGCAATGCAATTTTAGTGATAATTTGGATTAAATAGCTATTAGATCGTCAGCACTTAACTTGGCAAAAAACTTGGTGTCTTCCAATTGAAGAGCAATTGACCGAATGCTTGAATCTAAACCAAAAGTGTATACTTGTGTTAGATCATCCACAGTGAACACCTAACTATAGGAGCAGCATGCTGCTTGAGCTAGATTTTTCTGTGGGATACTAGAAGCTGAACGAGTACGTTTGTAGATTTCTGTTGGCTCTTTCTCTCAATTAGCGTTCAATGACTTTCTTTTCATCACTCAGCCTAATTTGGTTTTGTTATTCATATCTCTGTGTGACTTATGCCACAAAGCACTTTGCAAAGTAGGATAAGTTCAAAGTTGCGGAGAACCCACGAACCTTAGAAACTCCTTGCAGATCCTATCTTATTGTTCATTAACTAGCATCAGAGTCATTTCTCTTGGACTTTGCAGGACACTGGAAACATTACTCTATGACACTTTGCTATATAATACACTTTGACCAGTCTATGGCAGTCGTTGAAGGCCTTGGGGAAGGACTGTCTTTTTCAGTTGGTATATTACTTGAGATGTTTCTCTATTTTTCATAAGTACCAAATAATGATCACATTTTACTGCTTCATTCTATGTTTACTCTGCAAAATAGGAAGGAAAACATATGCTGAAAAAAATGTGGTAAATACATGGACTTACACAGCACTTTATTTAAAGTAGCATAATTTAAAATATCAGTAAATCAGAAATTAATCAGCTTAACCATGCGTGTTTTATTGTACATTGTCACATTGGTATTATAATGTTCACAGTTTTTTAGTTATGCCACTGGTCAAAAATTTTAAACTTGTCTTTACTCGCACACTTTTCTAAAATGGGAAACTTCGAAAGTAGGAAACTACAAACAGTGAGCTACACATATCAAAGTATTAAAATTGGTAGATATTGTTAACCCATTATTTTCACTTTAGCACGAACCAGACATGGCCGAGGATTCAAGGTTCGCTTGCCGTTACCACAAAAGTCCACTCTGCACTTTGGGGGCGTGAGTGCGTTATTAAAAAGAAAGTCAAATCTCATTCGGTTAGAGTAGCCGAAGAATTGTCGGTGGGTGCTGTTGGTTAACTACCTTGTCCTTAGTCTACTAGTAATACTATTGTGCAACTTACGCCTAAAAGGCACAACCCCCTAGAATTAAAAGATATAGAAAGAAAGAAAACAGAGTCAATATTTTCATTCTAATGATGTATATTAATGGATGTTAATTACAAACTTTATGTTTAATGATGGCATTATACCGGTTCAATTTCAGTAAATAATGGCATTATTTCATATACACAAACATAACTTACATTATAGCTATAATGATAAAGTAAAATAGTTTGTGTACCTTGCATATAATTACTTATAATAGCAATTCTGTGTATTGACATATGAATTCGCGCTGTAACACATCGTACACATCCAGTAGACTGGACACAATAGCTTTACTAAAGTGATCTGTTGAATGGTTGCGTACAAAAAGCATGCCATCACATACTTAAAATAAGGAATACTGTGGTATGCAAGAGTAACAGTTGTAAAACTGCATAGTTCATCAGCTCATTATTAGTTAAACTTTTTCTGCTGTGAATATATGTTATCTAATTCTTTTTCCTAAGATGGAACTAAAAAAACAGATTTTCCTCAGATGTGCCCTCCCCCCCTCAAGATGTTCACTGAAGTTTTTACGAAAAGATCATCATTTTTCAAGGATTTTGGAGTGATTCAACAAAACGTTTTTCTTAGCGAAAATCATGACGCGAATGCTTATTCAAGAAAGTGTGCATACCGACATCACCGGGATGGCCACATTGTGGGCTGTTGTGTTTTGATATTTAAGTGTTATTACCAATGATTCTAAAGTTTCTGTAATAAGTAATAAATACATCTCTCAAACCATCTGTTTTGTACATTTATATAGCCTTTGAAACTTACCCTTAGAGAAACAATTAAGTAGTCTTTACTTTTTATTCCAGATTTTCAGTATTCAACATCAGGCATAAATTTTGGTAGACGGAGCAAGGACATTGCCACTCAGAAAGGGTACTTTCAGACCTTTGAAAGGAAATTTCAATAACATGTATGAAACATCATTGGTACGGAGTACAAAAATTAACGAACAATCCGTTTGAAAATTGTTTAACATTTTTCTGACATTTAAGACTGATATTATTCGTCTTTATTATTGAAAACATTTGCTAATCTCCTCTATCCAATATAACAATTAATAAAATTTTCACTCAAAAAGCAGATTTAGTCAGAATTGCATGAATATTTCAGATTTTAGATTGTAAAAAACCAAAACTAGATTTAGAGTGAAATTAAAGTTTATTTAAGTTTTATCTTTTTATGATAAAGTGGAAAAAACAAGAAATGTCTGTATTCCAAGTCCATTTGGTAATAATAAATCTGTTGTTGAAGTAACATTGTAAAATTTGTATACTTAAGCTTTTGTGACTTTCTCTTCGCATCGTTATAAAGTTAAATAATACTTTGTGTTAGTATTTTTGAAAATATGTGATGAAGACTTTTAAAACAAGCACTCAACATCCATAAAAGTCCTTAATGAATATTTCATTTATTTGAAAAAAAAACCTTTCATTTGAAACGCAATTTTTTCTTTTCTTTTTCACGATTCAAAATACAGTGGTTAAAAATAAAATGGTATAATTGGAAATGTCAATACACAGTTCTTTGTTTTGAATAATGAAAATGTCAGGTCTTAAAACATGCATTTCTGTTTTGTAAAATTTACATACTGTGTTACACATATGAAAAGTTGCAACATGAACAGAAAAATAGGAATGCTAAAAAGTTTAAAATTTTGTACTATGCATCAATAACTAAAATGCTGAAAACTTTTTCAAGTTCTCTTATGACGCTTTTTAACACTGGAAATACCACGTAAACATTGTTGATATAGTTATGATGTGAAAAATAAACTAAAAAGTAAAAAAGTAATAATATGATTTTCATAAATTTATATAAAAGTCATGAACTTTGACGTGATACTACTGTTTCTTATCATTTTCTGTGGTCATAACAGTCATAGTATGAGCCATTTTTAATTTAAGTTGACTAAACCATTCTTATTGATTTTTGACAGTATACTTCAAAATTTCTACGAGGTTTTGAGTCTACGTCACAGATCCTCTTTCCAATTTCACACACACACACACACACACATATATATATACACAATACTTGAAAATTGTTTTTTATTTTCTCTGAAAGAGTGTGGTTGTTTTTCTTTTATGATGAAGAGGAAAATTTGGTGAACAAAACTCTTTGGCGGAAGAGAGGGGTACAAAAACTCCAACCCGTCGAGCACATGAGTCATTCGTTGTGAATTATAGCGTTTGTTATAGCGTGACTCTGGAAATTAAGTGTATTGCAAAGTTGTATTCAGAAAGAATAAACCAGTTTTATTTAAGAAAGGACTTGTATCGCTAAAGTTTCTTCGGAAAGAAATTATACGGAAAATTAACTAATGACCAGAGACGTAACAAATTGGTGTCAGAAGTGGGATTAAAAAAAAATGGAAACGAGAAGCGACAAATCAAACTACAGCTTCGCAGATTTGATGGCAGAAATACAAGAGCAGCAAAAGAAACAAGAATAACGAGAAAAGAAACAGGAATAACGAGAAAAGAAACAAGAAGAGAGAAAACAGCAGTTGCAAGAAAACCCGCAACAATGGCAGCTCGAACAGCAAAATAAACAAGAAGAGAGATTACAGCAGTTGTTGGAGAAAAAAGAAAAGAAACAAGAAGAGAGACAACAGCAGTTGCAAGAAAACCTGCAACAGTAGCAGCTCGAACAGCAAAATAAATAAGAAGAACGAGAAAAGAAACAAGAAGAGAGCTTACAGCAGTTGTTGGAGGAAAAAGAAAAGAAACAAGAAGAGAGATTACAACAGCTATTGGAGGAGAAAGAAAATAAACAAGAAGAGAGACTACAGCAGTGACTACAACAGGAACAAGAAAGGAAACAGGAAGAAAGTCAGCAGCAACTACAGGAAAGTCAACAACAGTGGCAAGAAGTACAAATGGAAAACATTAGTAAATTTAAAAGCGAATTAGATACATTAAAGGATGATTTATTGTCTTTTAAACAAGGAGGATACATTAACTATCGACTTAATCAGCCCCAGACAATGGCAAGCCCCTTCCAGACCCCGCAGCTAAACCTTAATGCAGACATCTTCAGTCCCATTAGAAGTCACATCCCAGATACGAATGTCAGCAATAGGGGTGATCCAGTACGAAAGAAGTCACATGAATTCGATGGGAAGCATATAGAGCACAGTTTGAGCTACTGGCAGAGATGAATGGGTGGACAGAGGAGCAGAAACCAGTATATCTGGCAA